ATGGTCATATCTTATAGTCTTCCAAACAAAAATTAAAATAAGGAAAAATAAAAATCTGAAATAGAACTAAAAATTATTTGTCAAAGACAAAAAAAATCCTTACGTAAGCTACACCAGAAGTTTCTTAACAATTTAATAAAACATTAATGAAAGAGTTACATCTATCTCTTGGATTAAAAATTTTTAAAGGAGCTGCAAGAAAATCAGTTTTCTAACTGTTTTCTCTATTCTTATATCCAAAAATACAGACCTAAATCAACTGTTTCTAAAGATAAACCATCTGGTGTTTAATAAAAAGAAAAATATCAGATAGTGATAGTATGGAGCTGGAGCAATAGCACAGCGGTTAGGGTATTTGCCTTGCACAAGACCGACAGGGCCAACCCGAGTTCAATTCCTCCACCTCTCTCAGAGAGCCCAGCAAGCTACCTAGAGTATCTCGCCTGCAAGGCAAAGCCTGGCAAGCTCCCTGTGATGTATTAGATATGCCAAACACAGTAACAACAAGTCTCACAGTGACAGTGACAGTGATAGTATAGCAAATGTTGCTCTTGCCTTGTAAGCGAACAACCTAGGCTGATCCCAGGCACCCCCTAAGGTTCCCAGAGCCCAGCCAGGAGTGATCCTTAAGGGCAGAGCCAGGAGTAAGCCCTGAGCACTAACAGGTGTAACCCAAAAATAAAATATAAAAAAAAAAAAACTATCAAGGGCTGGAGAGATAGTATATTGCCTTCCATGTGGCCTACACTGATTCAATCCCTGAAACCCCATATGGTCCCCTGAGCCCTGGCAAGGAGTGATTCCTGAGCACAGTCGGGAGTAAGCCTGACTGATCCCTGAGCACAGAGTTAGGAATATGCCCTGAATACTACTGGTGTGGCTCAAAAAAAACAAAAAAAGAAAAAAAATTAAATCAACAACAGCAGGAGTGGAGAGAAAGTATAGCAGATAAGGCTCTTGCCTTGCTAGAGGCTGCCCTGGGTTCGATTCCCAAAATCCCATATGGTCCCCTGAGCACCTCCAGGAGTAACTCTTGAGTACTGAGCCAGGAGTAACCTCTGAGCATCACTTGGGTGTGGTCCAAAAACAAAACAAAACAAAAACAAACAGCAGCACAATATAGACATGGTCTTTTGGGGAGAAGGGGAAAGAGGTGGCGATAAGGGGGAATGCTTGAAGCCATACCCAGTGGGTGCTCAGGGATCACTCCTAGAAGTGCTGGGAGATAAGAGAGGGAAACCATACTCAATGCCTGGGATCAAACCAGAGTCAGTTGCTGGCAAAGCAAGTACTTTAAACCCCGTACTATCAATCCAGTACAACAGAGTCTTAAAATAAGTATTATAATCAACATTCAGATCCTTCAAATGAGTTAAATTTATAACATGCCACATCCAGTTCATTCTTAAGGGAGAAAACTGAAAACAAAAACTCCTGCTTACTACTTTGTAGTTAAGCCTCTATCCCAGGTGCGTTGTACTCAGTATTACCACTCTTTCTTCTCTTTTCAAAAGCCAACAATTCTAAACTATACAAGTATGTCTAGTTCCCTTAAAAATACTTTTATATTATGTTTTGTGTTCAGGGCCATGCCAAGCTTTCAAATACTTTTACTCTAAAAAGGAAATTCCTTTTCACTTTCTCCACTGAAATGTGTCTTCTTTGGTTTTGCTTATTTTCTATACAAGAAATGTTCTCAAATCAGTGTTTCAGTTTTAGCTGTTTACTATTAATACCTCTGTATAAACTCAGGTTACTCACCAAACAATGCCTTATAATACAGGGATAAACATGAAAGAGTAAACAAGGGGGCATAATGAAACAAAGTACACCACAAGTAAGCAACTCCACTCAATTTCATCTCTGCCTCAAATTCTCTTAAATAAACTCATGCCAAAGATTCTCAGCATCTAAAAAGAGGCACAACAGTATATGTAAAGCAGACACAGAAAAAAAAATAGAAACAAAGATTCTAACATCACCTAAGAAAAAATTCCAACAGAAAGAAGAAATATAGCTAGAGAGATAGTACAGTAGGTAAGGCACTTGCTTTGCACGAGGCCAACCCCAGCCAACCTGGGTTCCACTCCCTATGGTTCCCTGAGCCTGCCAGAAGTAATCCCAGAGCACAGAGCCAGGAGTAAGCCCTGAGCACAGCTGGGTGTGACCCAAAAATAAACAAAAAAAAGAATCAAAAAGAAAAGAAAAACCATGAGCACAGGGCTCAAATACTGCTACTGAATGCTTTGCTTTTTCTGCAAATCAAAATCAATGAAGTGATTGAGTGATCAAAATAATCTCTCAAATTTTGACTTGAAATATAGTTAACACTGTGATGCAGTACAGTGGTTCTCAAAGCTGACTGCACACTGGACTCATCTGAACAGACTTACAAATACTGACGGCTGAGTTCCACCCTTGAAGATTATTCTGATGTAATGGTTGTGTTCTGACCCTCAATCATGTTATTAGTAATATTACAAAGACATTAGAAATTCTGAAAGCTCTCCAGGTGATTCAAGTAAGAAAGAAAGTTGAGAACCTCTGATGTAGTACACAAATGAATGAGAAGTTCCCAAAAACAATTTTTCTTGTCAAGTGCAATATCAGCAAATAGATTTATTCGCTTTCATTTTATTTTCAATGCTAGTGTCAGTCTACTAAGTTGGAGGCTTTTTGCTCAGTATTCTACAGTTTCAATTTTACTATCTTTTTTTTTAGAGGTGGGGAAATAGAAGATGCCAAGGATAAAACACAGGGCCTCATAAATGTGGGACATGTCTCTACCACGATAAGACCAACCCTTCAAATTGATTTTATAAACTCAAATCAGCGCCATGGTCTAAAATAAAGACTTAAGTAGGATATCCTTCATATTATAATCTTTTTTTGCCACTTGCCTCACTTTCCAGCAAAAAGGACAGATTTTTTTTGTTGTTGCTTTGTTTGAGGATCACACCCATTGGTGGAGGGAGGGGGGGTTGTTGGGATTAACCCTCTGGAAGCAGCACAACTCAAGGGACCATGCGTTGCTAAAAAAGAGTGGTTTCCACAGACAAAGCATGCTTACTTGTGCACAGGGTTATCTCCCAGCCCCCATAAATTTTTTAACATTACTACATTTCTGGTTTCACTAAAGAAACTGGTTCTTAAAACTGTGTGATTTATTAACCAGCAAAAGCATCGCATGAAATAAAGCCAATTTCCCAGGTCCCTTCCAGACCTACTAAATCAGAAACTCAATGTGAAGCCAGTGATCTAGTTAGTTTACTCAGCCGTCCAGGTGATTTGAATGCAAGGTCTGAGAACCACAGCACTGAAGAACTCGGGTTTCTCTATATCCTCTCACAACCCAGTACAGAGATTACTATGCCATACAATATTCTAAAAGTCCCACAAATTTAATTCGTGTGAAGGGGGGGAATCTGAAATAGGAACATGATACAAATACAGATGAAACTTTTGCACAAGAGCCTTTAAATTGTCGAAAGAAGTGGTGGCACTAGAGTTCAGACTTGATTCTACTTTGGTTGGCAAAGGTACGCCTAACCTTTCCGTGACTCCTCTTTCTGATCAACTTCCCGACTTACCTCTCTCCTTCGGCTACTCCTCCCCTTTCTCCTTCAAATGGTGCATTCTGTTCTTGACCTTATTTCCCATCCCCAAACAAACGTCTCACGGCAGGCACCTGAACGCCAATCCCTTAATCCTGCTTTTGGGACCCTCTCTCGGGTCCGAGATGGCATGACGGTATCAGGACGCCGAAGTTCATTCCACTATGGTAGTTCAGTTAGGAAGCTGAAGTGTCCAGTCCTCTGCGGAAGTCCTAAGAAACCGATTCCTGGCCCCACTGTTCCAGTTCTCAAGCTCTAGAAATCCTGGCCTGCTTGCACCAGCCCACCTCCCTCTTTCTCGATCAACTTCCTCGCGCCCTCCTTGATGCACCAGGAAACTATTTCTCCCCCGTCCGCCTCACGGGGCATGTCGTCTGGCCTGCGTCCTCTCAGCAGACAGCATTTCCTCACTCTCCAGGCCGACCCTTTCTTCAGCCCGGTCTCAAACCCGAGCTCTCCCTCGCGGATTGTTTGTTGTTGTTGTTGTTGTTGTTGTTGTTGCTGTTGTCGCTGCTGCTGCTGCTGCTTCCTCAGACCCAGGAACTCCCAAGCCGGCGCCGGCCGTCCCAAGCCGGAGCAAGCCCTGTGGGGGGTGGGTAGGGCGCGCGGGTTCTTCTTCCCTGGAGCTGCTCAAGGTCTCCGCCGGCCAGACCCTCGCACGACCCGGGGGCCCCTCAGCTCCCCGGCGGGCACACCCTCCTCCCCGGGACGAGCTGCCCGGGCAGTCGCACGAGGGTCTCCAAACACCCGCGTCCCGCCCTTCCTCACACGCTCGAGCTCGCTCGGACGCCGGCCGTTTCCTGTCACCCGGGACCCCGGGCGGCCCTCGGTCTTCCCGCCGCCCTTCTCCCTCCGACCCAGGCCACTCCCAGTTTCCCGGCCCCTTCGACTCCCCGCGCTCCCGGCGGGCGGCTCCCCGGCGTCCCACGGCGGCGTCGGCACCCCGGCCATCCTGGGTCCTCACGCCCCCGTCACTCCGCCCTCGGACCCGAGTGGCCCCGGTCACCCCCTCTTCTCCCGAGAGAGAGAGCCGAGCAGCTTTCGTCTGCCCCCCGCCCCCCAGGGACCTGCCCCTCAGACGCCGCCCGCGCGGCTCGGTGCCTCAGCCCGGACCCGGCGACCTCCCCGCGGAGACGCGCTCGGGTCCGGCGCCAACTCCGCCGCCAGACTCGGGCCATTCTCCCACCAGCTCCAGTCAGCGCGAACTCGCCACCGCCGCCGCCGCCGCCGCCGCCGCCTCTCCGCCGCCCCCGCCCTGGCCCCGGTCAGAGCCGGCCCGAAGTCTGGGCCCCCTTTTCCTCCAAGTCTCCAACCTCCGGAGCGTCCAACGGGAGTTTCCAGCCCGCGAAGCTCCCCGAGTCCCAGGCCCGCTTTCCTGGCACTCACCTGCCGCCGCCCCCGAGCAACTCCAGCGCCACTGCCTCTACCGCGGCCGCCAGTAGCCACCAAGCGCCACCACCTCCCCCATGACAACAGGCCCGCCCCGTTTCATACTTCCAATCTTCCCATTGGCTCGTGGGACAGAAACTCTCCACTATGATTGGCTTCGTCTACCTGCCCGTCAGAGCCTCATTGCCGCCCCTTTTCCTGGATCTGGTATTAGCACCCGCCCGGACCTGGCGCGTCCTAGACAAAATTTTAGCTGCTATTGGATGGTGGTTAGGCATTTCGAAGTTATGATAGGCTGCCGGTAGTGCCTGTTAAGTCAACTGGCAGGAGATGTGACCGCCGGGTTTGGTTCAAGCTCTGGAAGTTTGGTTGCGCTGCAGAAAGCTGAGAAGCGGCTGAATCTCTGATCCGCGGTTACCGGGGAAGGTGGTTAACTCTTTGTTGTAGAGTTGACTCTTTAAACTCCTCCCTTTCTCCAACTCCCTTCCTAGAAAATGTAGTTTAGCACTGCTCGCATATTCATAGGATGGCACTTACAAAACACTAACATACTGTGTTTAAAACAGATCTTCAGCCCCTTGGTTTGGAGTTTATTTTTACAGAAGAGTAAAAATAAATTACCCATCTTTTTTTAAAATTGCATTGAGTCAAATTTCCTTGAAGTTCTTCCCAGAAGTCTCCGTGCTAAAGAGCAAAGAGCAACCTTTCTATAGCAGAAATAGGTCCACTTTGGTAGTAATTATAAACGTCATTATTAAACTAAAGTGGAATGTGAGAGTTCTGCAAGCTTCTAAACTCCATCCAAGTGACTCCTACGAAGTGGTCTGGCGGCCATCAGCAAGTTTCGACTAAGCAAGTCACTGTTTGCCCTTGTGATGAGAATTCAGCTCCTCCTGTTTGGTTTTTACGTTCAGCATTTCTTAAATAATCCTACTAGATGTGTCAGATATTTTAAAAGCTTGTCCTTTTTTTCTAAATCTCTTTTCCTAACAAGCTAAATTAGAACCATTGAATGAATTGCAATTCTTTTTGCACATTAGCGCAATACACAATTGTGTTTTTTTTTTAACTTCATTTGGGTACAAATCACAGTAGGCATTTTTGAGAAATCTGGTGTTGCTATAAAAACTTGTACTCCTAGAAATATAGCCATCATTTGCTTTTCTTTTTCATTCCACCCACTTTTCCTGCTCCTGAATAATAAAATGCTGCCCTAATTATTCTTTCTATTCCTAAATCAGATTTAAATGTTACTTCCTCACAATTCCAAGGATAAAACACTTATACATAAGCCATGAAACTTACGCAGGGATGGATTGGGATAGAACAATTTGCTATTCCCCTCACAAGCATTAATTTATGCTTAGAATGGTTCTGTGGGACTAAGATTCTAAACTTAAGAAAGTTTGTGCTTTGTGGGCTACAGCGATAGTACAGTGGGTAGAGTTGCTGCCTTGCACATGGCCGACCTCAGTACCATTTCCGGCATCTCATATGGTCCCCTGGGCACTGCCAGGAGTAATTCCTGAGTGCAGAGCCAGGAGTAACCCCTGTGTATCATCAGATGTGACCGAAAAGCCAAAAAAAGAGAAAAAAAAAAGACATTTTGTGTTTTGTCCCTTTTCTTCTTTCTGCTCTTTGCCCCTTATCTCTTCTATTTACCCTTTAGTCCTTTGCAAAGTAAACAAAACTTTTTGGAAACCTAAAACTGCATGTTGGTTACCCAGCGGGGGAAAAAAATGGTTTTTAACGTATTTTTTAATCATTTGAATAAACTACATATCTATACACCAAACTAAGTGAAAATTATTTCTTCATTAACTATACATAACAATAAGGTGCTTTTCCTAGTTATTTTCCGGAACTTTCCTCCCCCTTCTCTCATCCTCACCTTCCAATTTAGAAATAACCTCCCCTTCAATTCAATGACTCATAAAAAGCCTGTAAAAGGAAAAGTGGAAAAGCAAAAATAACTTCAGAGAAGTCTGATTCATTGTATTGAAAGAAAGATCGGACATTGACCATGATAAGCTGGAAGCCATGATAAACTTAAGCAAGACTAAGCTAACGTGGCATAACAAATGAAGCAACATGCAGATGAAAAGATGCCACAATGAGGAGGTCTGAGTGTGTCCTTCTCACTGCCTTTTGTACATTACCAGCAGCTTTCTTCTTTTTAGTCTTGACAGGACTCCCTACCTACCAATTTTAGAGCAAGTTAGAAGGCAATTAATGTCCTGGCAGATAGGAAACAATAACGTCATAGGAGGGCATGGCCATTATTATTGGACTTTGAGTAATAATGGCTCTTGCACAGGCATAGTGACTAGGTGCCATAGAAAACATAGAATTAGGCCAGTCTCACTAGGAGGACTTGTCATCTAGCTCAGGAATTCACAAAATTACTATCTCAAAACCAGGAGAATTACCACAGGTCAGTGAGTGATTAATTCTGTTCCATAGAGTAGAATTCCACTTGCGGGGAAAAGGACTCATGAATGTTTTTACTCATACATGCCTGTGCGCTTCTTCCACTCCCAATTCTTGTGAAAATCAGTGAATAAAAGAGACAAAAAATAAACACAAACCCCTTAATAAGAGAGAAAACCCTAAAGCAGGAAGGTTTTCAGGAGTAGTCTTTGATCTAACAGGGGGCTATTGTGTTATGGAAGCCCAAAGGTTATTGCTAGTATCCTGCATTGTGATTTGCATGCACAAGGTAACCTTATAACGTAATTAGTTGGCCCAGCTTTTCTTTGCTTTCTTGTGTTCTGTGCTTCTCCACCACTCTCAAGTCTACCTTCTATAAAGCAAGGCACTGGAGTCTGGGAGTCTGTGGCTTTGTGCTGTGTGGCCAGTTGTGGAGGTGGTGTAGATGCTATCTGCGCAGAATCACTTGAACAAGATCAGGATGGCAGGTATATTAAAGGCGAAATAGCCTTTCTAAATCCTGATTGTGTGGAAAATAAAAGACTCCGAGTACTGGCCCCAGTGTCTAAGGAGTAAGTATGGTTTGCCTTGGGCTTTGCTGTATGCTGATGAACAGTTTTGCTCTCTGCTACCTTGCCCTCTTTTCAAAGTAGAAGAACAGGTACTGAGTTTTATTTCAATTTTACTTGGGGCTGGTGGGGTAGCAATCTCACTGGAGAAAAGCTATATTGTTTATTGTTTATTTTCCTCCTGGAATTGACACACCGGTCTCAAATGCAGTCTAGAAATAAGTAACTGGGGGAAGAAGAAGAAATTCACAAACAAGGGCCAGAATTGCCTGCAATGAGCTGGGAGGCAGCCAGGATATTTGATAAGAGGTGGTTCCCTAAGTTAGGGATACCCTGAGGGGAGATGCTAACAGAAGTGAAGGGGTTGGAGATTGGGGGGTGGGGGGGAGAGCGGAGGCAGAGAGGACAGTAAGAAAAGTTAGGAAGAGAACCAAGAGGTCCCTTTCAGAGTGCTGAGCCAGCTTAGAGTCCTGCCCGCCTCCCCCCACCCCACCCCAATCCTGTGGACTTTAGACCAGGTTGCACAATTACACCAACCAAGTGTAGCCTCTGCCTCTGGTCGCAAGGGAAACAGTGCCAGAGCTTGAGCCTATGGGACCTTTGCTCTACGGCAACCTGGAAGTCCTCCTTGACCTCAAATCCTGCTGCTCTGGCACCAGTGCAAAGCTGACAAGGAAAAACACAATCATGCGGCCAGCTAACAAGTGTATCTTCATTTGATTTCATAAAAATGACCACTGGCACGAGGCTCTGGCTGAACAGAGAGAGCCTATCTAGGAGAAGACAGCTTTTACTTTCCCAAACTGGGCAACTTCCAACCCAAGGAAGAGAAGAGAAGAGAAGTGTGCCTGGCCCTCCACTGACCTTGTGTTTTATAGGTAAGATGACTTAAGTGTTTATAAAATGGATGGGTTGCAATTCTTAGCACTGCAGTTGTGCTATTGAATGCAGTCCCTAGTTACTATCACCAGATCTATGGGTGGACCAGCCATTCTTCTGCAACAGGGTGTAGGCCTCTCTAAGTACTTACCACCATTTAAATTTTTGTTCATCCCTGTTTTACACACACAAAAAGAATTTCCTGGAAACATGGCTATACTCCAAGGATTTCAGGATGCCTTTTAGAACAGTTCCCCAATCATTTGGAGTCTCATAAGAATGTAGACTTGAACTCAGACTCTTGAACCTAAATGTGTTTAAATCCTACTTCAGCATCTTCTAGCTGTGTGATTTTGAGGAGATAGATTCAACTTCCTAACAGTTAGTCTCTTCATATATAAAATGGAATATGTATTCATTTGTGGGGTTTTTTTTTGCTGCTTAATAAATTACTAAACAATACCTTAAGGACTAGAGATATAATGCAGCGGGTAGGGCACTTGCTTTGCATGTGACCAATCCAAGTTCACTCCCCAGAACCATCAGGAGCTATCCCTGAGAAGAGGCAAGAGTAAGCCCTGATCTCCACTGGGTGTGACCCAAATAACAAACACAAATAATAATAATTTGTAGCATAAATGACTAACATTTATTTCTTCTGGGGCGCCAAAGAGATACAAAAAGGGTTAAGGCATTTTGTTATGCATACAACTGACCACAGTTCAACCTCTGGCACCACATTTGGTCCCCTAAGAACTACCAAGAGTAACCCCTGAACACAGAATCAGAAATATTGCCCAGATGTGACTCAGATCCTCCATACCCAAATCATCCCAAATAAATAAGGGTCAGAAATACTGCTGCACCCTATCTGGATTTCTGTCTCTGGGACTCCAAGAAGCGGCAGTCATTTCAGGGCCCTTTTAGAATGTATCTGTTTCCCAAGGAGTAGAATTCAGCAGCTCACAGGCCTTAAGCTGAGGCCTTCGATCCTCATGAACTGTTGGCCAGAGGCCTCCCACAGTGTCTCATCTAATGAGTTTCTCATAGTCCATCTCAAAACAAGGCAGCCGGCTTCTCAGAGCAAGCAAGCAAGCAAACAAGAAGAAGGCCATTATGGGAAAGATGGTTGGCAACATGGAAGTCAGACTTGTAATCACAGAAATGGTAGCCCATCATATTTGC